TCCTCTGTTCTCTGCCTGCAAGGAATGCAGTGCTGACTCTACGCCCCTACAACCATGAGAGAATTCATACATTCCTGAATACAGTTATAGTCTGCATTATGAGACCCTGTTAAAGCGCTGGTTACCAGTTTGTGCATAATTAATGCCTTTCCCCTGCTGTGAAGACAGAGATGCTGGGTGACTAATGGTACAGATAGGGGGGGACAAGATGATTATAATGTTAGCGTGGGAATTGTATATGATGATCATAGTCAAGGATATTATGACATATACTGCAAGGAGAGAAGTGTGTATGTGCAAAAGTCAGTGGTGTGTGTATTGCACTGCACAATGGTTTGGATAAGCAGTTTCTGTGTGCATTCAATAATACTATGTGTGCGAGAGGCAATACACACCCGTAATGACATGCAAATGGGTGTAAGCTAATGACTTCATTATCACTAAGGATATCAGCACAGTGGAAGTAAAATCGCAAACTGAAATCCACACACTTTGTTTTCCAAAGAGATCAACAACACTGCTTTGTTGATGTGTTTATCTCTGTAGTTCTCCCGTAATGTATGCAACTTTATTGGAAAACAAACCACATAACAAATGGTTTTTTTCATGAAACACCCTCTTAAAACCCCCAGTTCTTTTTGTATCTCATTTCCTTCACATAATCGTTTCGCCTTACTCTTGCCAAGCTAACGCCCATACTCCCTCATACTACCATATTTAGAGATATCTAAGGTTCGTACCACTGCCTGATCCAGGTGTGCTGAACTGTGATGTATCCAAAAGCTTGCGTGGGGTGGACATGCTGCTCACATCCAACACAGGCATTGGAGATGTATCTTTAGCAGCAGAGCTGTGAAGACAAAAAGAATAATCAGTCTGGATAGAATAATTAACTTTCTAAAATTACATGCAAATACAATAATATATATTGCATGATTATGAGAGGAATATACCCAGATTAACTCTAAAAATCTTGAGTTATAGCTTCTTATACACATAGAAAAGTTTATAATGCCCAGAAATGCACCAACTAACCTGGCCATTTCTCAGAAAAACAATCTAATTTTATAACAAAAATAATGATTGCATCTGGGTAGGATTGGTGCTGCTTTCCAATAAACCATTTATCATGGCTTAAGCCTGAGGTGGACGCAATCCGGCTCTCTTAAGTTGGGCGGTATAAACACAGTGTGTCTGCTAAGTGAGTGGGGTGTATGGAGGGTGGCTTGTTGTTAGAGGCGACCCAATACAGGAAGGCCAGGACCTGTCACCGGCTGACCCTCAGTAATAAATCACTGTGCCTCAGCAACCCACAGCCAACATAATTACTGCACCCCACACACAGACACACATGTAAAAGCACAAACAACACTTAAGCTGAATGCCATCCACGGAACACAGCAGCATCAACAGCGTGTTTGAAGCCATTGTGCTGCATTATCCCTAATAGCTTATACGCCCGCATCAAGAAACTAAGAGACTGGCCCTCGGGTCACGGAGGCATAGCTTAAGTTATTCTCCTAGTGGCTGCAAAACCTAAATCATCATTTAAAAGCAGCTCCGGTGTCACACGGAAACTCTATGTCTATTCTATCAGCTTATTTTTCTACTGCTATTAATTGGCAACTGTTTCTCCTAGGTTGAAATGTGTTTTTCCAGGAAACCAAACAATAAAATGGGCTTATTAATACATATAAGATGTATTACAGACAGTATCATCAATCATGGCTCCATGTTCATACCTCCCGATTCCCCATGAGTTAATCAGTAATGTATACTTCTTTACAATAAATGATGTGTTTTTCTCCTGTTTCTTTGAAACTTCACAGCAGATACTGTAGTACAAACAGAAAAAGTTGAGTTATTCAAGGTCTAATTTTTTTTCTCAGTAATTGGCTTGGTTTACATATAGTAAATCATTGGAAAGTTGTCCAGAGAATGAACGAACTCATAATTAATAGACATCTGTACAGTCAGAACTTTTAAAAGAAGGAGGACTTAGAAGGCTACATTTCCTATGACTACATAATAATCAAACAAGAAAGGCTTTTGGGGACTCAGACCAAACAAACCAGCTCAAATTTGTATTTTTATAACAATCTATCTAATCTCACTACATCTGTCTTACTCTGTAAATTAGTGAAAACTTTGAGTAAAAAGATAAATAAAAAGTCAGAAGAGGAACACATCTTAGAGGGATGTTAATAAAGGAAAAAAAATGAATTGTTTTCTACCTAGTTAATCTTGCTGTTAATTGGTAACCATATGATTACAAAATATGCCGCTTACCCTGGAAGACGTGCAGCATTTTTGTCCTTGTTCTTGTGTCCCAGACGACTGGTGGACTTGATGTAGAGGTGGCGGTGCAGCTCATCGATGAGCACAAGGTGGATGTTGAGCTTCCTGCTGTGGAGCTCGAGTCGCAGATCTCCAAGCCCCTCCACCTGCAGAAGGGGGCCTTCCAAGGAATCCACCGCTGACACCTGCATATGACAAAATACCAGGCAATCACAGGTTGTCCTGAGCTGGACTTTTCACGTTTCATAGTGTCTGATGGAGATTTTCTTTTGGCATTTGCCTTCACTGGAAAGCCCACAGTAGAAATCCACAGAAAGACATCAGAACAGAGAGAGAGGTAGGGAAACGCAAGTCTAAAAGGCCATCAATTCTATGGCCAATTTTCATAAAAGGTTCATGGCAAATCATCACACAGCCTGGAGGTGGGAAGGCTGCACATTCATTGTTCTTTTACAATTGCACATAACTCACCTTTGTAGGACAAGGATGTACAAGACACACAACGAGGAGAGGATCTCTATGTGACAAAACATTTAATTGATCCACTCACCAACCTGTGGTTATAGAATAAAACCGTCCAAATCTTATATTGTGTTATGACGGTAAAATGTACCTGTCAGACCAGCTTTGAACGATTCCATTTGAAGTTACACCTTCTGCCCCAATGATGAAGAAACCCAATGGTTCCCCATGAAGATCAGCCGTTAACATCCCAGTCTTGACACTCATTTTCCACAAGCTATCATAGACATGCCCAAAAAATAGACTTAGATGCAACTCATGTTCTCCAGCCAGAGTATCAGCAGAGGGTACGGGATTCGGGAAATGTACATAGCATTATCTACAATATATGAAAAATGTATTTTCCTCCAACAAATGATTTAAAAGTCTTCTCACGCCCTCCCGACTCACGCTCTTTATTTTTGAAATGTCCCCGTTACTCTCCCTGCTTCTCTCTTTGCTCAGTTTTTTTATTAACAGCAGCATGCTTGCAATTAATACATCTTCATGCCATTAAATAAAATGTGCAAGGCTGTATTTGTGTATACATGTGCATTACTATGTCTATTTCAAGAGCACTAATGGCCAGATGATAGTGCTTTGAAAAATATTTGCATGGCCAAGGCGAGCCAGAAGGGAAGGGTAGCTGCTGGTGGGGGGCAGGGTGCATGGGTCAAGTGTGTGTTGATGCAAATGAGAGGCGCATTAGTGACAAGATGAGCTAATGCGCTGCATGATCAGCCCGCTTTGGTTTAATACAATAACTCTGCGTGCATGCAAGGCTCTGTGTGTCACCGTTTGTGTGTCTGTGTTCACACCTCCCAGATGTGTGTATGATTATATGTGTGTGATTGTATGGCTGTAAATCATTTAACACTTATGTGTCTGAGTGTAGGGGGGAATATCTCATTACCATTGGGCTGGGATGACAGAGGAAGGCTGGTTAACATCATTAGGGGGACGGGCCTGTCAGCTTAATGAGCGATATGAAGCCTCTTGTGGATTTGCAGGGTAGCAAGAGAGATGGTGAGAAGGACACAAGTGAAGAGAGGAGAAGAGAGGAGAGGAGAACAGAAAAGAAGTATGACAGCTTATCAGTAAGCTCTGAGCACCATGGGGGGGGGGGGGTTGTG